TCAGAAGAGGTGCGAGGGTTACATGAAATGGCCTGGCGGGTGGGATTCGGCCCATGGACCTTCTGTTTGGGTCCCCTTCTCTGGTAGCACTTAATTAGGCAGAGTGATATCAGTGATGCTTTCTGAAGGAATGTACTTAGGACTCTTACAGATAGGTTGCCTCACCAGAAGAGGTGAGTGATCTACTCCTCCTGACCTGCCAACACTGCTGTAATGTAGCAGACGCAATGTAAAGCAAAAACAAAAAAAATAAATAAAAATAAATAAAAAAGACTGCAGTCATTTCTGTCCTTCCTCAAATGCAGGAATATCAAATAATTACAGATGCCAAAGCCTAAATCGATTGCGGAGGGTAATCATGTGATCAATGCGTACAGCAAGCTTTTACAAAGTGTCTGCAAAGCTTTCGGCAAGTTTGAGCAGCTTTGTTAAAAGCATTTGAAGGACTCAGCAGCTCCAGTTTCGGGATATGCACAGATTTTATTGGGAGTGCTCTCACTAAATGAGCTGCTAGTTAACAAGCAGAGCTGAGGCTTACTGCATGAGTCAGCGTACCTATTAAGGTCTGTGTGTGAGATCCCCAAATTGGAGCTGAAGTTAACCCTTTTACTGCCACAGACATGAGGCTTACAGTGTAGTAGGAATGCTTGCAGCAGATCATCTCAGTAGCCAAGAACTTACTCCTAAGAGATGCCCACCACCTTAGCTTTTTGTGAATGGATGTGATCAGCAGCTACCAAGACACTGATCACATTCACAAAGCACGTAAAGTTAGCTACCGCTTCTCTGAGCTCTGCGGATGCAATCTGTCAGCCAAATGGCTTCGGATCATATCCGCAACACTGCATCCAGTGTTCCCCTGTAACCTATTCCTGTGCTCCTCACTCTATGAAGCTTCCTCTGTCCCCCTCTTCATTTTGCAAGTTGATCAAATGCTTTAGTGATCAGCGAAATGGCAGCCCACTTGCACCCAACTCTATGGATTGGATCCTGCAGGAAACCGGCTGCTAATCACAATCATAGGTCTTGTGCCAAGTTCCTCCTGGATCTGAAGCCCCTCTATGGTCCCCCATGCAGACCCCATGCCACCTGCAGTGTTAGGGGTAGTACAGGCACTGCTGTTTCTGCCAGTGAAGAGAGCAGCTTCCCGTCCTCATGCTGGTCTTATCACTGGCTTTCTATCAGAACGGCAAGCAGGGAGATCAGATCCTTCACTTTCACTGATCTCCATCAATTAGTAATTGAACTCCGAAATGCTCAGCGGGCAAATCACTTGAAAGTAGTATCAATGGGTCAGGTGAGGGGGTGGGAGGCCTAAATGGGCAAAATGTTTGGGTCTCTTTAATGTGCAATATTTCATATAATATAGAGCATGGTGTTCAGGCAGCCCATTCCTTTTAAATGTGAAGCTGATTTATCATTTTGGCCAGTTCTGACATTGCTCAAATACAGGTGAAAATCTGCATTTTTGCTAGAACATTACTTAGAACCCCAAAATTATATATTTTCTGAAAGCTAAGGTCCTGGAGAATTTTCTTTTTAAAATCATTATGTCACACGGTATCTGTGCAATGGTTTATCAAACACAAATTTCTAGGGAAAAAAAACAAAAAACAACACACTTTAATGAACCCAACATGTAACGCTTTAAAATTGCGAATGCCAGTGGAATGGTGACAAATTATGGTACATTACTGTTCATCTCGTGATTAGGGATGCACCGAAATTTCACCAAAATGTATCGGCTAAAGATAGCCCTATCAGCATTATGCCGAAAGGAACAAGTGAGCCGATACAGGTGTCAATAAATGCGGCCTGACTGGTCGGCTCTGTTTGGCTGGGAGTTTTGGGGGGCTGTGTGTACTGCAGAACGGGGGGGGGAAGATGGCAGAGAAAGGCAGAAGAGGTATACAGTGAGGGAGAAGTGTATACAGACAGGCTCCCTCACTTGCCACTGCTAAATGTCATTGCCGATTTTTAAACGCAACTGCAGTCTTTTTTTTTTTTTCTTATTTTCTTCACTTTATACCCCCTGAGAAGGAGCGGTCATTCACCCCTTCACCCCGCTGCTAAACAAAGGGGCGGGGTCATCCAGTGACATTACCCAGCGACTCCATCCCTTTGTTTACTTTAGCAGTGGGGCTCCTTCTCTGAGCTATAAAGTGAAGGAAAAAAAAAGACAGCACTTGCATTTAAAAAACGGTATTTAGCGGCAGCAAGTGAGGAAGCCTGTCTGTATACACTGTTCCTCTCCTGCCCCCCTCTTGCACACACTGCCCCCCACCTAATCCCCCCTACAAAGAGGACCTGGCACAACAATGCCATCACATAGGGGACTTTTGGTCCCCCGTGTGATAGTAATAAGATCATAAGTTAAAAAAATAAATAAAAAACAGACACTAAAAAAATAAACAAAAAATAAATAAATTTGAGCCTCCCACCCCCACATACGCAGACATTTCGGTTTTCGGCCAATTGCATCCTGAATTTTCGATTTCGGCACCAGAATTTTCACTTTGGTGCAACACTACTTGTGATAGCTGGTCAGTGTCAGATCTCTCCTTTACCCTCAAAAGCATATGATCAAACCAAGATCATAAGCTATAGCCAACAGGCAAAAAAAAAAAAAAAAAAAAAATGCGACAGGATGGATCGACTTCAGTACAATCAGTCTGTCCATAGATGGATCGAAACTCCAGTCGGTTCAGCAGGGACTCGATCCATCTATGGCCGGCGTTCATTCTATGCAAGGACTTGTCTTGCCATCAGCCATTATAGTTTCACAAAGGCTGCCTGCAGTTTATAAAAGCCATGCCAACTATCGAATTTTCAGTCTTACCTATTTACTTGCCAATGGAAACACACACAAAAAATGTGCTTCTGTCCAACATATGATATAATTTATCATTTACAACAATTTTTCAAACTTAGCATGGCTAGGCAGATGAAGACAGACCACCACTGCCCAAGCCACAAAAAACCCTATTAACCACTTGTCTACTGGGCACTTTTACCTCCTTCCTGCCCAGACCAATTTTCTGCTTTCAGTGCTGTCGCACTTTGAATGACAATTGCACAATCATGCAACACCATACCCATATGAAATTTTTTTCACACAAACACAGCTTTCTTTTGGTGGTATTTAAACGCCACTGGGGTTTTTATGTTTTATGAATGAATGAAGTGGCAGTATGGGCAGAGCCCCGCACAGCCGCGCTCTTGTTAAAAAGTGACAGCTAGTCACTTGGAACCTCTCCCCATACTGCTGTCACAAAGAGGGCTCAGATAGCCGAGCCGCTGCAGGAGCACGTTACACGTTCCACCCAAAAACTGGGTAGAACTTGTAACTTGTTCCCAAAGGGTGAACTTATCCTTTACCCTTTGCTGCCAGAGCCCTTTTTGAGTTTTTTGTTTAAAACAAATCACTTTAGGCCTGAAGATTACATAAACCCCAGAAAACATGTCTGAAACCAGACCTCCCAGAGAGAATAAAATAGTGGTAGTTCCAATTTTTAATGTCACATGATATTACCACAAAGGAAATGCAAAATTTTAGTAAACACACTAAAGTGAATTTTAGGGAACAAAAAGGCAATAAATTACCCAGTATTATGTTAAAATGTAAAAGATGAGGTTGCACCAAGTATATAGATACCCAACATGTCAAAACTTAAACTTGCATGTGCTTGTGAAAACCTAAGGTAGATAGGTCATCTGTTTAGTGATACGGAGGAGGTCTGGGGCTAGAATTATTGTTCTAATTCAGATGTGTGCGGAGACATGTTACATGTGTATCGCAATTGACCTTTTGAAGCATAAGCGCTCCGAAGTGTGCGTTTACATTTATGCGTATATGTGGGGGTGGGGACCTCAAAATGTATTTATGGGGGGGCTGTTATGTGCTTGGGTGTAACTTTGTAATTTTTTTTTTTTTTTACAAATAAACTTTTTTACTTAAGTTTTTTTTTTCCATCACATAGGGGACGAAGAAGTCCCCTATGTGATGATTTTTGGTGACAGGACCACTTTGAGACATCCAGGATCTAAACTACTCTGCACGTCTCCCTGTGCTCCATTGAAAGTAATGCTGTGCAGATCGCACTGCATTACATACATTCTTTCCCGGCTTTGATGGCTGGGAAATTTGTCAATGGGGACCTGAAAGTGGCATCACACAAGTCACTTCCAGGTCAGGACAAGAAGAGGAGGAGAGCGGACAGGTGTGATATGCAAGTGAACAGATTTCACCAGGCATAATTCTTTTAATTATGAAAAATGTCCTTTCTCTGCCTAAAACACAAAAATGAACTGTGAGCTCAGATAAGTGCTTGTTACAGGGCTTGTAAAAATTTGGTTACCCCACTTTGTTCTATAACTGTCTTGAGATGGATATTCTCCTGTTTATAATGGTTATTAGGAAGTTGTTAGATTGCCTATGGAAACTAAGAATTTCATATGCAATTAGCTGCAATTCATTGGTTGATATTGTACTCCCTGCTAGTGTCCCTTGATCTTTATAAAGGAAAAAAATATATAAAATTAAATGCATCTCATATATACTTTAAAATCTTCAATAAAATCTTATTGAAAAAAAAAAAAAATGGTTTATCCTTGAATGGGCTGCCCTAGACTGGCAATACACAAGTACACACTGAGAAAGCAGTCAGACCTGGCTATATATCTGTTTGCCTTCTTGATGGTCCAGATTGTTGGCACTCCAGCAAAAAGAAAAATTAAAAAAAAAAAAGTAAAAAAAAAAAAACAGAATCAGGTAGACGACAGTGTATACTGACATTCATCATATGATGAATTGCCCAACCCAGCCATTTTCTATCCAGCTGTTGCTTAGCAATAATATGCATGAGACATCAAAACTGATTTGTGGAAAAGTACCTTCACACAAAAGCATAAAACAAAGTATACAAAAGTTTAAACCTATAATGGTAATAGCAGAAAGTTCCCGTAAAAAGTTTTATTTTTAACCTTACCTTCTAATGAAATTACGTTTCACATTGCATTAACAGTTCCCTAATTTCTGGAGTCAGATGATTCGTAGCCCTGGCAGCTTCAGCAATAGCTTTACGGTACACTCCTTTTTTCTTCCTATTGAACCTAAGTTTAAAAAATTCTGAAAAGGATGAAAGTTTTGAAATGGATAAACTGGAGGTCGTTGGAGAACCAAACCATGAAACCGTTGCCTCATGCCATGAAGGATCACCGTTTTCCTTCTGATTAACATTAATACTCAGTATACGGGCAGGCCACCAAGGAAAGCCATGGACCTTCCCCCATACGATGTCTCCCACTGAAATAGTCTTTCCATCTACAGTGATGCAGTTTGACACACTTTTAGAGTGAAGTCTCACCATAAGCGGTGGGACAGTTTTCTGTTCATCTTTAGAAGAGGAGACCGAAACATCATCACCAGGCATAAGGTCACAAAAATCCATCCTATTTAATTCCAGACAAGTTGACTTTGTTTCATCCAGACTGTCGTTGCTGCACAATGACGCACTTGATGAATCGGCTTTCCTTTTCCGGTAATTCACAAGTAAATTCAAATTATGCCCCTCTTTACTGTGTGGAAATCCTTTGAAGTCATCATCTTCCCCAGAGCTTCCCAAAGACACATCATGATAACTTCTTTCTGCAGCACTGTCCATGTAATAAGCAGAGGAATCGGTTTCAGACTCTTGGCTGCTCTGCAGCACATTCACCTCATCAATTAGCTCAGATTTATAGACTGAAACGCTTTGTCCATCACTAATCCTTTGTGGCTTTAGTCTGATTTTGGGCGGTGGAATATCTACATTGGAATGCACTGGCTTAGGTAATTTTAACTTCGGAATAGAAGCCACCTGGCTGTCTGTTGACCTGTCCACTAAACGTTTGGGAGCTTGACACTGTTCAGTGTCCTGGAGTATCTCTTGGTCCCTACTTCCATTTTCCTGGGTTTTCTTTGGACAAAATGGCTCAACAGAGCCATGTACACGTGATGGAATCTTAACCACTTCCCCTTTGCCCTGTGGTGTACTATACGAGATCTTTATGACAGGACTCCTATGTATCAAGTCTTTGGAGGGACTCCTGTGTAGCAAGTCTCTAGAAGCACTATGCTCCTCTCGCCTCTCCTTTGTTGTTTTTCTCTCTTCGGGATCAGACTCCACTTTGTGTCTTTCCTTATCCTCACTTTGTAATCTTTTGCCACCTCTAGTGTTATGTTTATCCTTGGGAGATTCCTCTGTATTTAATGTGTTTTTACATTTCTCACAAAGGACTTGTCTAGGCCGTAGCCTTATTGTGCTCATTATTAGCCTCCCAGGATCTCTGTTCCTTGACATTCGCCTCTTTGTCCTTTTAATACTGCGTGGGGGCGGTTGAGGCACCCACTGATTGTATGAGTGCCTTATCCACAAAGGAGGGGGGAAAGGGGCACCTTCGAAATATGGAGGATAAGAAGGAGCAGTACCTGGGGGTGGAAGGAGTGGAGGAACTTGATCTGTGTTACTTTTTACAGGGAGTCCAGTGTCTTGAACAGGGGTTTCTGACAATGGATGGGAGAAGTTGGCATCTGTTGGAATACTGTTACAGGAACCGTTGGGTGAATCTTCATTTTTCGGAACAGAAGGTGGTGGCATGCCGAACAACCCAGACCTAGTAAAAAGTACAAACAGGATGTTAAAAAAAAAAGGCCTCTCTGTATGGACAGAACACAGCTTTGTTTTCATCCAAATACACAAGCAGTCATGAGATCTGAGTGTACTCATTATCTAGAAAGTTAAGTAAAGCAGGAGCATAAAACCAAAACAGTTTTTGTCAATAATGCATTATACATGGAACCTCTTGACTTAAATATCTAACAGGAAAATGATAAGTGCCTATTTAGAAAATTAAAAACACACCCATTGCACTTCCCAAAAGTCCAAATAAAAACAAAAAAAAAAAAAAAAAAAAAAAAACACACACACACACAGGTCTAAACTGTATGCAATTCTCTGATTGGGCTCCTAGTTGGTGCTCCAGCACAATGCCCTAAAATCCCACAGTACAATGCACATGACTAACATGCATTGCATAATGGTGGCAAGAAGTGGGAATGCTTACTATTGGGGCATGCAGAGTCACATTTCACATGGACTTCAAAGCAATGCTAAAAGGTTTTTTTTTTTTTTTTTTTGTAAAATAAACATGTTATACGTACCTACTGTGTGCAGTAGTTTTGCACAGAGCAGCCTGGATCCTCCTCGTCTCAGGTTCCCTGCAGGCTCTTCTTGCTGCTCCTCTCGGGTGCCCCCACAGTAAGCAGCTTGCTATGGAGGCACCCGCTGCTTCATGTGTCCATTCACACATGGAGCTGCGGCTTGGCCCCGTCCCCTCTCTCTTCATTGGCTGTGAATGACAGCAGTGGGAGCCAATGAATCCCAATTGCCATTGGAGCCAATGAGGAGGCAGAGAACCCGGGACAGCCGAGGTTGTTGTGCACATCTCTGGATCTCGATGGGGTTCAAATAAGTATTGAGGGGGCTGGGGGCACTGCTGAATACAGAAGGTTTTTTTACCTTCATGCATCGAATGCATGAAGGTAAAAAACCTTGAGCCTTTACAACCACTTTAAAGCTCATCTTCAGGCAAAAAAAATAATGTTTTCCTGTGCCCACACTGCATGGGTTTACTGCTAGTTATTGTCTAGGGGAGAGGAGAAAGAAGATATACTTACCTAATCCTCTGACTCTCCCAGTGCAAGACCGGTCCAGCACCCCCTGCTCCAGCAGTCTTGAGTTGTGAACTGTTCCTGATGTCAAAGCGCAGAGCAGGCTCCATAGGCTTGGAATAGTCCTCCGCTGGATTGTAGGGGAGTGCAGTTTTTAAGTGGAACAAAGGATTGGGAGAGTATAAGCTTTCTCCTCACCAGAAACAAGCAGTTGAGCCGTGCAGTGAGGGCACAGCTTGAATGCTTGTGCAATAGTTTTTCTGCCCAGAGTTGGGATTTAAAACATGCACACATTCTGGTTCTTGCTATTTAATAACGCCAAAAATTAGGCAACAGCTGTAATTTTCAAGGAACATTGGCTACCCTACTCCTGGGGTTGTCCAATTCTGCCATAGACACAAGATACATTCCCAATCTAAACCATTTATGACTAGATCAGGAGGCAAGATCACTACTATAGGTAGCCACCAACAGTTCAAACGACAGATCTGGGGTTACATGGTATAAGCAAACACTGGGAAACCTGTGTGCTGCACCATCCCCTATTCTTATAAAACCTAAAGAGGAGCACTTCTGTGACCCAGCCCTGTCAGGGATGAAGAAGGGCCAAATAACCGTTCGGTATTTTCCTGTAGGAGCTGTCTGGACTCATATTAGATCTACAGACGGCTGGGGGTAAATATACTGGCTTCCCTTTAAAGTGATTCGAAAGGCTCAAAGTTTTTTTACCTTCAAGCATACTATACATGAAGGTAAAAGTCTGTGTGCAGCAGCTCCCTCAAATACTCACCTAAGCCCTCTCTTGATCCAGTGATGTGCACTGGAGTCTTGACTGTCCTGGGACTCCCTCTTCTCATTGGCTGACACAAATGTGGAAGCCATTGGCTCCCACTGATGTCAATCACAGCCAGTGAGCCAATGAGAAGAGAGAGGGGGCAGGGCTGAGCCGCAGTTCCATATGTGAATGGACACACAGAGCAGTGGGTGCCCCCATAGTAAGCTGCTTGCTGTGGGGACACCTGACAGGAGGGAGGAGAGCCTGAGGGGGACCCGAGAAGAGGAGGATCTAGGCTGCTCTGTGCAAAACCACTACATACAGTAGGTATGTATAGACATGTTTGTTATTTAAAAAAAAAAAACAACTAAATAATAAGCCTATAGAATCCCTTTAAAAATCAAACTACCTCAGATTCATCATGTTTGGAGCCAAAAAAAAAAAAAACTGAAAAAAAAAAGGAAGCATTTTCTTTTTTTTTTTTTACACTAGGAGTTAATCGTCCATATGTTACATCTGCCTACTCAGGGGCGGACTGACCATTCAAGCACTCTGGCACTGCCCGAGGGCCCGGGGTCAATAGGGGGCCCCATGAAATGCCCCTGGTACCTTTTCTAGGCTTTTTTGGGTGTGCTTTGAGTCTGGGCAAGGACACAGGGGCCCCATGATCCCCTATTGCCTGGGGGCTCCATGAATTGTCAGTCCACCCCTATGCCTACCCACAGACTTACATAGAGCCTTCGATCAGATTCACCTGAAAAGGGCCCATGGCTAGCTTGACCATAACAGTTGAACAAACAATTGTATTTGTGCTTTATTTAAAGTGAACTCCCACTACCAATTTGTTGGTAATTACAGTATGAAGAAGAGGAAGGAGTTTCTTCCCCATCAAAGCAGTTGACAGTAAACACGGACTGCAAACATAAAAGGCAATGACTAAGGGAGACTTGACGCTTTGTTTTAAGTTACATTTCAACAACCACAAGGTACCCTGGCAGCTCCAACGCTCCTTGGTACAGTGACTTGTCTTTTTGTCTATTTACCAGCACTGAAGGAAAATCGAGCAAACACAAGAGAAAGGCAGCAGCAGATCACTTAAAAGCAGCATGCACTCCCCCTCCCCCACTTCACAGTGGAAGGCTTATATTCATTAAAGCTGATTAGAACCAAGGCCCCGCCAGCTGCCCTTTCATGTTCCTTTCTGGCCTGAACACCTCTGTTTTATCACAATGCCAGCCTATAGTTTCATGCCAGGAAGCAACTTTAATCTGTATCTATTAGGCCTCATGCACATTCTGTGTACAGCCACCAATACAAGTGAATGGCTGTACACAGCAGTGTTCAGGTAAATGCTGAAGGCTCCCCATAAAGTGCCACTTTTGAGTATGGCCTTCTACAGCCATTCACTTGTATCAGTGCGCATGCGCCCGGCGGTCCTTTCCCAGCTCGGACTGTCTGGCAGCTGAGAGCTTTGCAAAAACCCCGGGGGCTCCGCAAGTCCAGGAAGAGGCGTGCGGGGTCCTCTGCTCCTCATGTCACCAATGTGGCTCCTCATACTGCCGGACACAGATCCTCCCAGGGGCCACACTACTCCCCAAATGACTGCGACCTGAACTTTGCAAGGTGGTGACTGGAATAAAGAACCAAATGGACTGCGACCTGAACTTTGCCCGCTATGGTAACCAGGTGGTGATCCTGATGTAATAACCAGACCCTGATGTTGGTGATGCTGCTGGCTGACAGACCCTGTTGGACCTACTGGTGAAAAGGTGTGCACCACCCCGATGTCCTGAATGCCCGCTATGGTAACCAGACCCCGATGTCTGATGTGACTCATGCTGCTGACCAGACCCTGATGTCCTGATGTGACCAGATGCTGCTGCCAGACCCCGATCCTGATGCTGCTGCTGACCAGACCCTGATGTCCTGATGTGACCAGATGCTGCTGACCAGACCCCGATGTCCTGATGTGACCAGATGTGACCAGACCCCGATGATGTGACCAGATGCTGACAGATGCTGCTCATGCCGCTGACCAGTCCCTGATGTGACCAGATGCTGCTCATGCTGCTGACCAGACCCTGATGTGACCAGACCCTGATGTGACTGCTGACCAGACCCTGATGTGACCATGCTGCTCATGACCAGACCCTGATGTGACCAGATGCTGCTGCTGACCAACCCAGACCCTGATGTGACCAGATGCTGCTGACCAGACCCAGATGCTGCTGACCAGACCCTGATGTCCTGATGTGACCAGATGCTGCTCATGCTGCTGACCAGACCATGATGTCCTGTTGCTGAGGATTTACATACAATACCCATATTGTATGTATTTGTGGTAAGCACATAACCGCACTATTTTTTCCATTCTATCGAGTTGGATTTGGAACGTCATAGGATCGTATCCATCTGCCCTCCGGATACACTATATGAACAATTTATGTCCGATATTATGGTTACTATATATGGTGACACTCTCTTTGTTTGATATTCACTTTTTAGCGCTACATACCCCATTTTATATATTTCACGTTTAAGGTACTGTGGATTACTCTGTATGTTAGCACTCACTTACCTTACCCTTTACTTGTATCAGCGGTTGTACCTGGCCAGGAATCGCCAGGGATTTTACATTTAGCACACAGGAGCCAATACGAATTCATGCACACTGAGGCCTTGGAAATTAAAAGGGAAAAATTAAATAATCCCAGAGAACGCGCAACCATCTTCTTCTAAGCTGAAGACCAGGGATGACCTCATGGTTTGGATCCTCTGATTGACCGAGCTGATAATCATGACATCCTCTTACCTCTCCCCATTTAGGGTGGTAAAGAGTTGTTGGGACAATAGAGGAAGGCAGGAAACACTTGGCCAATGGTCTTTAGTAGGAATGATCTCAGATGTAATCGAAAACCTTAATATGAACCCATCTTGGCTAATCTCTCCAGGAAGCACAAAGCCACGCATGAGTGGCTGAGGAAGTTCCCACCTCGCAGATGCACTTATACGTGTAGCTGCGGGGCAGAGAATGCCTTGGCCTCTAGCGATTTGCTTTGTGAAGAGACAGCCTCCTGGTGGGATAGCTTAGGTGGGTTTGGATGACTATCTGAACACGCCTGAGATCATCCCTACTAAAGACCATTGGACAAGCATCTCCAATAAATC